GTGGGATTGGCTCAGTCCGGATCAGAATGCATGACGGGGTAACTAGGGAGTTGAAAGAAGTGGGGTTCGTGCCGCAGTTGACGAAGAACATCATTTCTCCTGGGACTTTGGAGGCAGCTGGTTATAGAGTGATCTTAGAGGATGCCACAATGAAGGTCATGAAGGGGTCCATGGTGATGATGCGGGGTGTCAGGAAAAACAACCTATACTACTTATAGGAGGTCTGGCTGCTTCTATCACCACAGAGGAGGACACTACCACACTATGGCACATGAGACTTGGACACACAGATGATAAGTCCCTACAGTCATTGGCAAAATATGGGCTATTGAAAGGTGCAAAGACCTGCAAGATGGACTGTGTGAGCATTGCATACTTGGGAAGAAGACTAAAGTGAAGTTCGGCACCGCTATTCACAACACCCAAGGTATATTGGATTACATTCACACAGATGTTTGGGACCCTTCTAAGCACACATCGTTTGGTGGGACAAATTATTTTGTTACTTTCATTAATGACTATTCCAGGAGGAATTGAGTATATACCATGAAACATAAACATGAGGTCCTGGATATATTTGTGGAGTGGAAGAAGAAAGTGGAGCTGCAGACAGGTAGAAAGGTGAAGACCCTTCGTTCAGACAATGGTGGAGAGTATAAGAGTGATCCATTTTTGCAGTTTTGTCGGTATCACGGCATTAGAAGACACTTCACAATTAGTGAGACACCGCAACAGGATGGGAGGGCTGAGAGGCTAAACCATACCTTGCTGGAGAATGTGCGATATATGATGACGCAGAGTGGATTGGCTAGATCCTTTTAGGCCGAGGCGTTAGTTTATGCGAGCCATCTCGTTAACAGGTTGCCGTGCACTGCGATAGAGGGGAAGATTCCGATGGAGCGTTGGTCTGGTTTTGTGGCTAGTGATTATGAGACTCTTCGGATTTTTGGGTGTCCAGCTTATTTTCATGTTAGTGATGGGAAGTTGAATCCGAGAGCTAGGAAGGCTGTCTTTGTGGGATTTAGAGAAGGTGTCAAAGGCTTCAAATTATGGAATCCACAAGACAAGAAGATGGTCATTAGCAGAGATGTCACATTTGATGAGGCGTACATGATGAAGCCTCGAGTTCCTCAGCAGGTGGAGGAAGATCAGACAGGAGGGATATCGCGACAGGTGGAGGATGATGTGACTCAACCCACTCCAGACAACACTGTATCCATTGAGATTCCTACAGAGATGACACTGGAAGGAGTTGAGATGACAGTCGGGCATTTGGAGGATACAGTGGATGATGAGACTCAGGAGCAGTGTCATGCTCAGGAGTCCATTGCAGCAAATAGACCGAGGAGAGAGATTTGTCGGACAGTTAGATATGATGATGTCATGGTGGCATATGCTTTATCTGTAGAGGTCGTTGATGATTTGATTCCTGCCACATTCAGGAAGGTAGGGTCTAAACCCTGATTCCATTAGGTGGAGGAATGCTATGGAAGAGGAGATGAAATCTCTTTAGAAGAACGACACTTGGGAACTTGCAAAGCTACCTAAGGATAAGAAAACTATTGGTTGCAAGTGGGTGTATGCTAAGGAGGAGGGATCTTCTATTGGGGACATTCGGTTCAAAACCAGATTGGTAGCCAAGGGATATGCACAACTTGAGGACGTCGATTACAATGAGGTATTTTCACCCGTTGTGAAGCATTCGTCTATTCGGATTCTATTGGCATTGGTAGCACAGCTGGATTTGGATTTGGTCCAAATGGGCGTGAAGACGGCCTTTCTACATGGAAACTTAGATGAGGAGATCTACATGACACAACCTATGGGGTTTAAAGCTGCAGGAAGGGAAAATTTAGTGTGCAAGTTGAAGAAATCTCTTTATGGACTGAAGCAATCACCGCGACAGTGGTACAAGAGATTTGATAGGTTTATGATTGGCCAAGGGTACACGAGGAACCCTTATGACCCATGTGTTTATATGCGCAAGCTACAGGATGATGAGCATATTTACTTGTTATTATATGTTAATGATATGTTTATTGCCTCCAAGAACACTTCAGCTATAGGGAAATTAAAAAAAGAGTTGTCATCTGAATTTGAGATGAAGGACCTGGGAGAGGCTAAGAAGATATTGGATATGGAGATTGAGCGAGACAGGGTGAAGGAGAAATTGAAGCTTACACAGAGGAGTTACTTGTAGAAGGTGCTGAAGAAATTCAGTTTTGAGGGTAATACTAAGGTGATGAGTACTCCATTAGCTCCCAACTTCAAGCTTTCAGCTTTGATGTCACCAGTTTCATTGGAGGATCGGGACTACATGTCCAAAGTTCCATACGCCAGTACAGTGGGTAACTTGATGTATGCTATAGTGTGTACGAGGCCAGATTTGTCACAGGCCGTGAGCATAGTATCTAGGTACATGCACAACCCTGGGAAGGGTCATTGGGAGGCTATGAAGTGGATTCTACGGTATATTAAGGGTACTGTGGATGTTGGGTTGATATTTGTGAAGGATGATAAGACAGGACATGATTGTAGTGGCTACGTAGATTCAAACTATGCCGGAGATCTTCACAAACGCCGGTCCACTACAGGTTATGTTTACACATTAGCTAGCGCACCGGTGTGTTGGAGATGCACTCTTCAGTCGACAGTGGCGCTTTCTACTACGGCGGCGGAATATATGGCGGTGACTGAAGCAGTGAAGGAGGCTTTGTGGCTACATGGTTTGTTGGATGATTTGGGGATTGCACAGGAGACCATTCAGATATATTGTGATAGCATGTCAGCTATCTATTTGGCGCAGAACCAAGTCTACCATGCACGCACAAAGCACATTTATATCAGATTTTACTTTGTACATGACGTATTGGATGATGGTGATGTCATGTTGGAGAAGGTCCACACTAAGGACAACCATGCTAATATGTTGACCAAAGTTGTTCCAGGTGTGAAATTTGATCATTGTTTGAATTTATTGAACATTCTTCGTTGTTGAGGCCGTTGGCGGCCATTTGGATGAACTACGTTCGGCTTGATTCCTTAGGCAAGAGGATACGTAGGCAGTCTTGCAGATGCAGCCGGTTGTATGAGTTGAATTTGATTGGGGGTGAGATTGTTTGAGCTCTCGTCTAGTGTTGGCTCAGTTTTGGCAAAACGTTCGCCGAGGTG